TTCCCAATCGGCAAATAGGAGAAGCTGTGCGGCCGTTGCTTCAGAGAGGAAGACGTCCAGTCCTCCCTCTCCGAGGGCCTCTCCGTCGCACTGTTACGGGCTCGCACACCGCCTACCGCCATGCCGCCGCGCCACTCGCGGCGGGAGGTCGCCGTCGGCCTATTTGTCCTCTCCGCCACCCATCCCCCTCCTCCCTCCCCCCCTCTTCTATTTACCTCCTTAACTCCTTCTCCGTATCCTCCGCCACCACCAGCCCAATCCGACTCCACCTCCCTCCCGACTGTTTTTGTCTGCAGGGGCAGAAGGTATACCGTACCGCTTGCCCGTTGTGCGTCGCAGCGTTGCCTAGCTTGCCCGCCGGAGACGTTATAGTCCTCATCTTAAATTATAGTGCTACACTCTGTAAACTTGAATGTGGATTTTTTTTCCCGTGTCTCGTTCACTTTTACCTTGAGAAGGGTTGTAAGGTGCTTGTCTTTGTCGTAGAGCATGTCCCTGTCGCCGCTGCTCGCCGCCGCCCTGCTGCTCGGGGCGGCCCTGGCCCAAGCCCAGGCCCAGTTCCTGTCGGCGGACCCCTCCATCGCGCTGCAGCCGCCGCCACTGCACCACGGCGCCTTCGCCACCTTCGGCGCGCAGCCCGTGGCCGTGGCCCAGCCCCAGAGCTTCCTGCAGGTACAGAACCGTCACACCCAGAGAGTTGTTTCCTTGAAAAATATAACGAAATTTTTATTTTGTTCCAAAGAAATTCCCTTCAATTTCCAAAGTTAAAAGTTTTAATTTCAAGGAAATTCCTTTGTTTCAAGGATTTTCCTAGTGCAGAATCACTATAAGGGTGGTCCTCAGACCCCTTCCTTCAATTTGCTTATACTGTACCGCATGCATGCGTGCGGTGCGGGCGGGCTTGCCTACCGCTTCTCGCCACGGCGCCTCCTACGGCTCCGTTTGAGAATGCAACCCTCCCGCACGCCTGCATGCGTTACAGTATAAGCAAATTAAAGGAGAGGTATGTGGACCACCCTGTACAGAACCACAATGTAACAAATATCATTGGTCTCATATGAGTTCTCATGGTAGTCGAGAATCTTCTAAGGGGGGCATGGGGATGGGGGGGGGGCATGCTATTTGTTTTCCCCCTCCTCTGCTAGGGCTGAGCTAAGGTTCGGACTTTGTTTCAGCCGCTGCCCATGCTGCGCCAGCAGCAGCAGCAGCAGCAGCCCCTGGCGCACCACGCCGTGGTGAGGACTGCCGAGGACGAGGCCCGCCTCCCCGAGGAGCTGCGCAACAACTTCTACAAGGACCCACGCATCGCCGAGGGGCTCGCCAAGTCGTCCTGGTTCACGCCCGGCGAGGAGCAGGTCCTGGACCGCGAGGCCGAGAAGATCCCTCGCGAGCAGATCTTCAAGCTACTCAAGAACGCGGGGCTGGCCCGCCGCCGGTAGGCTAGGCCTGGCAGACGGCTACGATCCTCTCTCTCTCTCCCTCCCTCCCGCTCTCTCCCACCCTCATTTGGCGAGAGAGATAGAGTGAGTGAGAGGTGAGACGTGCCTTAGCTGTGTAGGTTATCGTAATTATGGAAGTGCCAGTTTGTTTACTACGATTGCATCGCATCAAGTCGTGGGTTCCAGATCAGAAGCGAATCCAACGTGTGTGGAATCACGTTATAAATCAGAAGCGACTCCTTAAAAAAAACATGAACAAACTTTGGGATACTTACTGGCTACTTCCCACCTCCGTACAAAACGAAAGGTGCCTGGAAAAATATTTTTAATGTGCCCCAGATATGCTGCTGAGAGTGTCACGGAGTGTCACTCAAAGTTAAGGGGATGTAACTATTTAACATTTTTGTTCGTGATAAACTTTTTAAAAATTGCCTGCTATATTTAAGCTGCTGTAAGCCAAGAGAAGAGGTCAGCCTCTCTCTGGTCCTAGTGTAGTCGCGCCAAGATGACGGCGCGGGACTGCCCGTCTTTTCACAAAGTGCCAATTAATAATTCCGCGTCATTCCGCTGTGCTGTAAAAAATACTGTCCGTCCATAATCGTAGAAATGGATTATGAAAATTTTCTCAAAGACAGAGACGCAAAACCTTAAGAATATTTTCTTTTTGTAGATTTGCGATGTATTTTCTATTGCATTTGGGAACTGCTCCTACGTCTATAGGAGGTTTTTTTTTTCAAAAAAATTGTGATGTGTTTTTACAGCGTTGTGGACTGACCTACTGACGCCAATGCTCGGGGCTAAGCTCAACTAGACGTTACGGAATACGTTTCTTAAGAGAATAATTATTATGCTACGTGTCATCATAGAGTAGGTAAATCACCTTTCATCCTTTATTTTCTTCGATAGATTTGTCATTTATCTATCTGTTAGAGTACGTGATTTTTGTTTTTGAAAGTTCCTCTTTCAATAATGAGTGTTATAAGTGTGTGTTCCTGATTTTATGTGTATGTAGAGAGCGTTTTAGTATGCATGTACGTGTGTGGATCCGTGTGTGTGCGTGGGTGAGAGAGAGAGAGAGAGAGTCAGTGTGTATCTGTTTCTGTCTTCGGATGTGAGTGTGTACTTGTAATTATTAAGACGTTAGATTGTATAGATAGTTTGCTCATCATAATGATTGTGTGTGTGTGTGTGTGTGTGTGTGT